AAAAACAAAATCCCCCCAACTATATGAAAAGGGGTCTGAGAGAACAGAAGGCCGAGGGAACCTGGGAGCCAGTTTCTTTGGGTAGAGCTGTCGCTGTATTGTTTCTAGGACCCTGTAGCCTTCCCTTAGGAAGGGCTTGTGGCGGGTATATGCCACCTTCTAAACCCAGGCCTGCTGAGGGGGCTTCTCGAGGTTTCTCAGAGAGATATAGAGGATGAGACAGCTCAAGTGGATGGATGCATGTGGTCTGGCTCTGGCCTGGGACCTGCAGGGAGGGTTGTGGGCCAGCTGCTACAGGGTGGCTGCAGAGCATGCTGCCGACAGGGCATCCATCTGCCTGTCCTTGGGAGAAGCTACACTGCCATCCTGTTTCTGACCATTCATGAGATTGGACACTCTTATGGCCAGGCTGAAGGTGCATTTACAACGTAAAGTAATTGTAGGCTGCTGTTTTTTTTTTTTTTTTTTTAACCCAAGGCTGAACTGAAAAGCTATAGGATCTGCCTGGGTTTTTATCCAGGCTAGGGAAGGCAATCCCCCCTGAATACAAGTAAGACTGTATACAGCTGAATACAGCTGAAGGGGAAAAGGAGGGACAGAAATAACAGTTGGGTTCTATTACATTAGGGCCCATGTTTGCTCACATTCCAGCTCTGCAGGTATTTTCAGGGAGTGTTGTGTGCTGTGGCAGGGGAGGTACTAAGAGTAGAGCATGCTGTGGGGAAGGGGCTGGGTGGTGTCAGGGAAGACTCCCAGAGGAGCATCATTCATGTGAGGTCTGGGGGATGAGTGGCAAGGGGAAGAGTGTTCTGGGGCGGGGGAGCAGCTGCTGGAAAGCTGGGAGGAGGGAGAGCTGAGCCTCTGAGGGGTGGGAGAGAGATGCTGGGCAGAGTTTGGCTTGAGTGGTCTTGTCCAGTGGGTAATTATCTTGGATTAAAATATCCCTTTGGTAGCGGAGGAGGGAGAGTTTGGAAGGGATGAGGTTAGAAAGGAACTTTCCTGGCGGTCTGCATGAGGCAAGATGCTGGCTTCAACCAAGGAAGGTCCATATGATGGAGCCTGTGGTGGGATTTGAAAGACACCAAAGAGACCAAAGGGGTGTGGGGTGAGGAACAGTGGAGGTTGGTGTGGGCACCTACACAGACAGCCTCGGCAAACTGGAGGCACTCTTCTGGACTCGAGCTTGGGAAGCTCTAGAGATGTCCAAGGTAGATGGACAGATATGCTGACCTTGAGCTTCACGGAGAGGCTGGAATTCAGAATAAAGACTCCAGGTCTTCTTCAAAGCCACAGAGGGGATGAATGTGTTTTCTACTCTCTTCCTGAAAGAGGGCACAGGGCCGAAAGGATTCAAACATTTAGTCAGACCCTGGAGGATGTTCTCCCAAAAGAAGCTGAGAAGGCACGTCAATAAGGCAATAAAAGGCACAGGCAACAAAGTTAAAAACAGACAATTTACACTTCATGAAAATTAGAATATTTTGTGTATCCAAAGACAGGATCAGCAGAGTAAAAAGATAATATAGAGAATGTGATAAAACATATGAGAATCATATAACTGATAAAGGATTAATGTCTAGAATATATAGGAAACTCCCCAAACTCATTAACAAAAAACAACGTAATTCAAAAGACTTACTAGACATTTCTTCAAAGAAGATATTACAAATGGCCAATAAGCACATAAAAAGATGCTTAACATCACTAATCATTAGGGAAATGCAGATCAAAATTATGAGCTACCTCTCCCTGCCCCCATCAAACCCCTTAAGATGTCTACTATTTTTTTCTTTTCTTTTTTTTTTTTTAGAGACAGAGTCTTACTTTGTGGCCCTCAGTAGAGTGCTGTGGCATCACAGGTGACAGCAACCTCCAACTCCTGGGCTTAAGCAATTCTTTTGCCTCAACGTCTGGTTATTTTTGTTGTTGCTGCCATTTGGCTGGGGCCGGGTTTGAACCTGCCACTCTCCATATATGGGGCCGGCGCCCTACTCACTGAGCCACAGGCACTGCCCAGGATGGCTACTATTTAAAAAAAAAAAGATGAGGATGGAGAATGGAAAGTTTGTGAATTGTTAGTGGGAATATAAAGCTGGACAGACACTGTGAAAAACAGTATGATATTTCCTCAAAAAATTAAAAATAGAATTATCACATATGATGCAGCAATTCCATTTCTAGGTATAGACCCAAAATAATTGAAGGCAAGATCTCAAAGATATTTGTGTATTCATGTTCATAGCAGCATTATTCAAAATAGCTAAAAGGTCCATCCATCGGTAAATGGATGAGCAAAATACATACAATGGAATGTTATTCAGCCTTAAAAAGAAAGAAATACTCGAAATTTCTGAAAGCTATTTCTAAAAAGGAAGGAAATATGCTACAACATGGATGAACTTTGAGGATATTATGCTGAGTGAAATAAGCAAGTCACAAAAGGACAAATATTATATGATCCTACTTATATGAGGCACCTAAGAATAGTCACAATCATAGAGATAGAAAGACTAGAAGCTTCCGGGGGCTGGGGGGAAGGAGAATGGAAGAGTTATAGTTTATAGGTACAGAGTTCAGTTTTACAAGATGAAGGAAGAGGATTCTTGAGACGGATTGTGGTGATGGTTGCACAAAAATGTGAATGCATTTAATACTACTGAACTGTAAAGTTAAAAATGGTTAAGAAGGTAAATTTTATGTGTATTTTGCCATGACTAAAAAAATTGAAGGAAAAAAAAGGAGGCAGGAGAGGCTGGTGCCAAATCAGGGTAGGACGGCCTTTCAGAAGGGGCTGCTGTAACTGAGCTGAATGCTATAGAGGAACACACAAGATGAGGACCAAGAAGGCGCTGCTGGATCTGGCACAAGGAGGTCCTGCACCTTGGCAGAGATTTTTGGCATGTGGTGGGGGTGGCCAAAGCAGGGAAGCAGCAAGGTGCAGTGAACCATTGAGGAAACAGAAGGTGAGAGTGAGGAAGCCAGTGTCACATGTCTCAGGCCCAAGGCAGCCACGGCTTCTGTCCTGGGAGCCATTCCTGGCTTGACACATGGGTGCCGTCTATCCCACCTCAGGGTTCCAGACTGGGAGTCCTGGAAGACAAGGACTGACCATCCTCTCATGGGGGACAGACTACTATTCACACACCCCAGTCATCCTAAACCAGCTCACATTCCCAGTTACTTCCCTGGGAAAACAACTGAAGTCTTTCCTGGTTCTGGGAAACCTCCTCCCCACCTCTGTTCTCCAGACTTGGTCAGGATAAGTCCATGAGATGGGCTCTGCCACCACCTTTGTCAAATCTCAGCATAAGAACAGAGCCCAGACCTGGGTCATGTAAACCATTTATTGGTTTGTTTTAAAAATATGTATTTTATTTATACACGAAGTTCAGTGAGAAGTGCTCCATTAGTTCAGATGACATCTGGCACTGATGCTTATTCTCCCCATCCTTTTTTCCACCCCCTTCTTCCCCTCCTGCTGGTCACTGTGCAGTTCTGGAAATTAAAAAAAAAGAAGTTAGCCATGCTAAAAGCTAAGGGGTCAGGTCCAGCTTGTCCCTGCCCTTAGCCACACTGTCTACAGCCAGCCTGGGGCACCTGTCCCTAGGCTCCCGGGCTGTCCGCACACACAAAACCACAGTCTCCTTCCGGCCAGCTGGGCTTGCAGCCCAATCTGCCTCCCAACCACATTCCCGCCTGTGTGGCGGGTGGGGAGTACCCAGGAGGGGCACATGCCTCTCTAAGCCTTGAGAGCAAAGCACAGAGATCTACAAAAATAAGATTTCCACTCAGAGAAGTGTCACTGGGACAGTTATAACTGAGTCCCACACTGGACTCAAAGGGAACACGAGAGAAGAGAAATCTCTGGGGGTGAGGTGGGTTGGGGGTTGGGGTTGCCACCAAGGGAATTGGGATGACAAGAAGAAACATAATACTTTATGTGCTGGCAATGCCCCCCCTTCAGCACTGCCATGAGTGTCGCAAACGTCCAGCCCTCTGACAACTCGGCGAGGTAGGTTAGGAGCAGCCAGCCCAAAGAGGGCCAGTGAGACTGAGGTGGCCTGTAAGGCGGACACCCAGTGGGGTGGCTCTGCTGGAGAGCTGGACTTGGGCAGCCGAGCCCCTGCCTGTTCCACTCTGCCAGCTCTTCTCTACATTAATAGATTTGCATATGCTAAATAGGACTGTCAGCAGCTGAAGAGGTCCTGGGGGTAATTGGACTAGTAAAAGCATTTTTCCCTGAAAAAGCCTTCTCACAAGACCTAAGGGACAGCCTGGCCTCTGCCCTGAGAGGTCCTGAATGTGGGTGCCACCAGGACTCCAGGCTGAGCCAGATGGGCTGGTTCAGGCCACACTGCTCCATCTCCCAAAGAGGGCTGTAGTTCACCACCCCAGCCCAGGACACAGCAACTGGCTTCTCCATCTGGCCCCTCCCTGCACAGGGCCAAGGTACTTTCCCCACTCTCAGGCCACCGCATCTGGAGAGAAGCTAGGGACCACATAAAAAATCTCCCCATGGTCAGAGAGCCCTGGGAGATGGCAATAGGCTCCTTTCTTGAGAGTGGCTGAGGGGCCACCACAGCTGCACACTCCTGAACTTCTCAGGTCCAAACCCACAAGGCTCATTCTCTTTTCCCAGTCAGTCAGGCATGGCCTGCCAGGTTCCACAGTGAGGACAGGCAGTATGCAATGCCGTGAGTGGGGTTGGTTCCCTTGCACCTCTTGGTGTGAAGGTTAATACTCTACAGGAGGGGAAGAAAAGGCAGTATCAGGGCCTAGGACCAGCCCTGGGACCCAGGCCACTGTCCTCTGGAAGCTTTTTATTTTTGTATGACTGATTCCAATATGGCCTACAGAAAAACAGAGGGGGAAATATGGGACCTTAGAGACAATGGAAGGCCAGAGTCACCATCTGTGGGCCAGGGCAGAGGCCTGTCTCCCTTAGGCTAGAGGCAGAGATGGTTGCCTGACACTGGCCTGAGGGGAGCCTGGACCCTGTCTGTGTGAGGAGTGTGTACAGGTACGTGAGTGAGGGGGGGTCAGCCCTCCCGGCACCTCAGCCTAAGCTGCAGGGGTCCCCATGTCCCTGCTAGGCAGTGAAGGCCTGTGGGAGCCACACCACATTCCACTTTTGCTTCGAGAACAGAGTTAGGGCTGCTCCACAGATGCTATTGTTCAGGTTCAGAAGAGGCAGTGTGAAATGCTTCCAACATCCATGGAAAAAACTTCAGTTCTTTGTTCAAGTAAAAAAATATCAAATATAATAAATTTATGAAAGCCCATTCCCAACATATACAGTCTCTGTTTTATATTTGCCTCAGTAGCTGGGACAGAGTTGCTTTTCAGATCCCCAAGGCATTGCCTGAGCAGACCAGGCCACAGGTATGTGTGGGGCCTCCAGGGATAGGGCACCCTGAAAGTTCAGCTCCTCCAGTTGCTCCAGCTGCCCATGTGGTGCCACAGAACTCTGCCTTGGTATCCTTGGGGCTAAGGCTCGTCTCTCATCTCGAAAGTTCAAAGCCAGGAAGGCCCAGGCTGGTTTGTGATTGCATTCAGGTTTGCCACAAGGCAACAGGCTGCCTCTCAGTGTGCCCTGGCCAGCAGAGGTGAGGCTCACACGATAGACTCCCGGTCCCTGTCTGGGGACGGGGGAAAGTCAGCAAGGTCTTCGCTGCGGCTATAGTCAGACACCCGCACCTGGAGGTTATCACTGGTGGCTCTAGTGACACTGTCATAGGAGGGTGGGAAGGATGTGGAGGAGATGGAGGAACTGGAGGGTGGGCTAAGAGGCCGGGAGAAGTTCTCATTCATCATGTAGGCGATGAGGCCCTCTCGCTCAGGGGCATCCTCTTCAGAGAGGCCGCTGCTGCCGACCTGCTGACGGAAGAGGAAGGAGGCATGCTTCATGGAGCGCTGCAGCAGGTGCCTGCGGAAGGCCCGCTGGATGACTGTGGCTGACACTTCCTCATGCTTGCGCCGGAGTGTGGTGGTGATGGGTTCGTAGGAGATCTTGGATGGGTTGGCAGCCATGAACTTTTCCTCCATTTGGATCTTCAGGGCATCCATCTCCCCAGACTCCCCCAGGACCCTCTTGGTGAAAGCAAAGAGGATGTCCATGCAATGGATACGGTCCCCACTCACCATGGGCAGGTCCATGTTGATGAGGCTTATCTGGTTGGGCTTGGCAATCCGAAGTGGCTCAGACAGGGCATCAGCAAAGTCCGACAGGGCTGAATACTCAATGAATTGGGTGGCCTCTGGATCAAACTTCTCCCAAATCTCATAGAACATGTCAAAGTCGTCCTCACTAAGAGGCTCTGTGCTCTCCTCTGTGGCCACGCTGAAGTTCTCCAGGATGATGGCAATGTACATGTTGACCACGATGAGGAAGGAGATGATGATATAGGTGGTAAAGAAGAGGATGCCCACAGCTGGGCTCCCACAGTTCCCTCGGGAGCCATTGCTGTTGGGCAGATTAGGGTCACAGTAAGGGGGCCCCGTGTTGAGGATGGGGCTGAGGAGCCCATCCCAACCAGCTGATGTGGTGATCTGGAAGAGGCACAACATGCTGTTGGCAAAGGTCTGGAAGTTGAACATGTCATCTATGCCAGCCTCCCACTTAACATAAGCGAAGTTGGCCATGCCAAAGATGGAGTAGATGAACATGACGAGGAAGAGCAGCAGCCCGATGTTGAAGAGGGCAGGCAGGGACATCATGAGGGCAAAGAGCAGTGTGCGGATCCCCTTGGCTCCTCGGATCAGTCTGAGGATGCGGCCAATTCGGGCCAGGCGGATAACCCGGAAGAGTGTTGGGGAGAAGAAGTATTTCTGGATGATGTCTGAGAGCACAGTGCCTGTGGGAAACAACAGAGACCATGGCCACTGAGGGTACCTCTGTCCTCCCTCCAGCCAGAAGCACTGAGGGGAACAGGTCTTTGTATAATAAGGGGCCAGAGACAGGAGGCCTTTCTAGGAGGACTGAGTTAACTAAGCATGCTAGGATGACCACCTCCTGCCTCTCTGAGTATCCATTTCTGTATCTATGATGCAGAGAATGAGGACCCACATCCTTTGCAAAGTGCCTTCTCAGCCCCATTGTTCCTTAATCTTCAGGGTATAAGTGCACAACAGAGGATGGGTCCATCATCCAATCATGGTTCTGAGGCCAGAGGGCACCTGCTTGGCACCTTGACAACCAGCTTGGACCAAAACTCAGGCCTTTTTGCTCATTGCTACTCAAAGTGTGGTCCAAGGACCAGAACCCTTGGGATCTCCTGGGTGTTTATTAGCAAGGCAGAATCTCAGCTCTATCCCCAGCTCATTGTGTTTTTAAAAGCCCAGTTGATTTATGTGCACATTGAAGAGCAAGAACCACTGGCCCAGCAATCAGTGCTCCCCTGACACCACAACATGCCTTAGAGCTTTCTCTTAGCCTCTCAGTGATAGTTTCTATCCCCTCCCAATTCTGCTTCCTGCCAGAGCTTCCTCATCCCTGAGTCTCTAGTGACTACACAGGTTTAGAGCTTTAAGAGGCATAGATATAAATTGTAGGAGAAAGAATGAAATAAACTTGTCTCACATTGGCCCAAGTGCCCCTTCCAGACTCCTTATAATAATGTCATTGACTTATAGGTGGCCACTGTTTGTAGTCAAGAGAGCAATGGGCCAAATACTTTATAGCCATTATTTTGTTTTGTCCTTCCCATCACCCTAGGAAGGGAGCTGATATCATCATCCTCATTTTCCAGAAGAGGAAACTGAGAGGTGAGGTAACTTACCCAAGTTGCCACCTAGTGAGGAAGAAGCTGGGATTTGACTCCAAGCTGACCTCTTAACCAAGCTTCACTGATAAAGCCCAAGCATGAGACCAGCAGGTGCTACATCCAGCACCTCCCAAAGCCTCTGAGACTGTCCCTTAGTGGTTCCAGTGGTTCCAATCCTGCTGCTGGCATTTCTGTATTCTCTAAAGCTTCTCTCCAGACTGATAAAGCACAATCTTACCCTCACCCATGCCTTGGCCCCCTAGAACATTCCTGACCCTGCTTCATGCTTCTGCCCATCTGCCCATCACTACAGTGATGGAAGTGCCTGCCCTAGCCCCTGCATTACCTTAGTGTTCACCAGAGGTACAGGCCATACATGATAGAAAGGCAAAAGTCAGAGTCACCCCAATGGGGCTAGAGCCCCGTGGGATTAGGGTCAAGAATTTGGGTTCTGAGTATAAGCAATGAAAGAAAAAATAGAAATAAATTGGACTTCGTTAAAATTAAAAACTTTTGTGCTGCAACAGACACCAAGAAATGAAAAACACATACAAGGAGAAAATATTGGCAAGTCATTTCTGATAAGGAACTAGTATTCAAAGTATATAAAGAACTCATAGAACTCAACAACAAAAAGATAAATAAGCCAGTTAAAAATGATGTAAGGATTTGAAAAGGGATTTCTCCAAGAAAGATATACAAATGACCAATAAGCACAAGCAAAGATGTTCAGCATCATTATATCAAATATAACCCAAACTTCAGTGAGATATCACTTCATATCCTCTAGCATAGATGTCATAAAAAATACAGACAATAACAAGTGTTGGTAAGGATGTGGAATAATTGGAATCCTCATTGATGGTGAAAATATACAAAGGTGTAGCCACTTTGGAAAACAGTTTGGCAGTCCTTCAAAATTCTGAATTAGTGATTTTCAGGGGGTGAAGGAGAGGGGAGATGGGAGTAAATACTAAATGGGTAGAGTTTCTTTTGGGGGGGGGTGAATAAAAATTAGATAGTGGTGATGATTGTACTGTGAATTCAGCTCTGTGAATACACTAAATACCACTGAATTGTATACCTCAGAGTAAATTTTATATTGATTTTCTGCAAATTTTATGATACATGAATTATATCTCAATAAAGCTGTTATATTAAAAAAAGGAATCTTGGCTCTGAGGTCAAATGGACATGGTGAGGATCTTATCTCTACAGCTCCTTAGTTGTATGATCTCCTGTGGATGCTGACTTTATAAGGTGAATTGCACGAGGTGGGTAATATCTCAAGGAGCCTGGTATACACCTTGTTGGTTAGACCCCAGAATTTTCCATCTTCATGGATAGCTTGTACCCTAGAGGGCAACCTACCTCCCATACTTGGGGACTCACCTTTTGAGGGAGCCTCTAGGGTATATGCTTTCCTTCAGGAGGCCCAGAAAGCCTCACAGTGCCCACCCGCTTTGCTAGACTTATCCTTGAAGCTCTCCAAGTAGCCCAAGAACTGGGTTCCTGGGTCCTCTGGAGGGTAGGGCCAGGAGAGGATGCTGGGTCCTCTGCCAGCTTGGCCCTTTTGGCCCAAGCAGACCTTTCCAGACAGGTTCTCTCTGGAAGGGTATATGTATGTGAGGAGAGGAGTAAAAAATGCAGAGAGAAAAGAATGAAGGAGTTTAGTGTTATTTTTGGACTGAAGTAGACACCCAGGGCTGGAGGGGAGGCTTAGCCTGGGGAGGGCTTCTCTGTCCAGCTGACTTGCATACCCACCCATGATGGAGAGGATGACAACCACAAAGTCGAAGATGTTCCAGCTATTGGTGAAGTAGTAGTGGCGCAAGGCAGTCATCTTGATGATACACTCGCCCGTGAAGATGGCCACAAAGAGCAGGTTGATCTTGGCCAAGATGCTGACCTTCTCAGGGCTTTGGTCATCTGTTTCCACCATCATGGTCACCATATTCAAGCAGATGAGGAACATGATGGTGACATCAAAGGCTTGCTTGGTCACAATATCAAACAGGAAGCCTTGGTACTTGTTCTGAAAGGAGGGGCACACAGGATGCTCTCAGCAGGGCCCTCAGGTCAGCTAGCAAGCTGCCTGCGGTCTCTTAGTCTGACTACCCACCTGTCTATTCCCCTGCTGGCAAGCCCAAAGTGACCCCCTATGGCCTAGGGTGAGTGCAGAGGAAGATGTCACAGAGGCTGAAATACCTGGCTCTCCTGCAGAAAACCTCTCTGGACTTCAAGGCCCAGCTCCGAGGTGTTCTCCTTCTGCGAGGCCTTCCCTGATGTATTTGTAGGGAGAGATTTCTCTCACACTGAGTTTCCTTAACACACTGTTCATTGTGCTTCTTTTTTTGTTCCCCCAGACTGAAGGTTTAAGGTCAAATTTAAACTTCAGTTCTAGGACTTGTGTTAGCCCTCAGATTAATACATTTTCTCCACTCTTTTTATGGAATTGATTCTATTTATTCTACTAGCTATATTTATACATGTCTATAATTGTAAATCAGCCAGATTACTTTGTTAGAGAGATGAGATTATAAATAAGTAAACACACATATATACATACACACATGCAAACACCCACACACATACAACCTACTAATCTAGAACAAAGCGTAGTAAACAGGAAAGAATCAGATGAAATTGATGAATTAGATTAAAAAACTGGGGCTACTATTTACTAGCTAGTGTTTTAGGTTATATTATCTAACTTCTCTGAGAACTCATTCACCCCTGTGCCTCAATACACACACACAAACACACATGCTTTTGGGGGAATGGCTTGATGGGGCCATGGAGTCAGTCTAGCAGAAGCTCTGGCTTTGCAGAAGTCCTGGCTCCACTGACCCAGGGATGCTGGAATATAGCTCCCTGACTGTTCTGGGGGCTCTAAGGGTAGGAGTAGGAGCTGTGAACACTTCCTTGCTTTCTGTGGGGAAAGCCTGCATCCTTGAAAGGAAAGAGGGGGCTCACTTAGAGGCAGAGTACTTCCTATTAGTGGGAGCATTGGTCACTGTAGCCTTCTTATGCCTTCCTCACTGTTTGTTTGAGGCTAAGCCCTCTCTCTATGGTTAGACATTTGAGAGTACCCCTAGGATGAGTTGAAAGACTGAAGAGGCCCTGCTGGCTGCCAGGCTGTGTGGTATGGGAGTGTCCCAGAGCCCCACAGAAGATCCTCCCTATTCCTATGGAATCTGGAGCCTAACTCACCAGGGGCCTAGGGATGGGTTTCTGGGGCTTCTTGGAACCCAGCTTCTTCATGGCATTGTAGTATTTCTTCTGCTCCTCTGTCATAAAGATGTCTTGGCCCCCTAAGTGCAGAGAGACAGGTACCAGACTTATTGTGGGGTTCTCAGAGGCTCTGAAATGGAGGGTATAGAGATCTTGCCTCCTTGATGAAGATGCCAGGCTTCCTTTCTGGATGAGGAATTATGTCCCCATCCTGCACCAGAGATTCTTCCCCAAGCCTGCTTATCCAGTGTTCCTGTCCCCATTTACCTTGAAATCTCTCTGGCTTTGTGACATGCAAATTCAGTGCCCACCCCCTACCTCCTGTCCAGCTCAGCCAGCCCAGGGATCCTCTCTATCCACTTGGTCTGCCTGTAACCCAATCATAGCCTGTCTGATGGGGCTCCAGGAAGTCCCTGGGCCTCTGTACAGGCCCCACCCATGACCTCTGATCTTGGACCAGGTGAACAGATCCAAAACCCTCACCTCAGCTTCTCTTAGCAGCCTCATCACTCAGGTAGAAAAAGGCAGGCATGGGGCTTCCTGCCTTCCTGCCAGAGGCCCTTCTTATATTCTCATAGGCCTAGGTGTGCTATACCCGTGGACACACCCTTCTTACCACCCCATTCCAGCAGGGGCAAGAAGAGGACCATCCCCAACAGGGCAGGTAAGATAAAGCCTAGAGCCAGAATGGCACCCAGCCCTGCCCTGTCCCGCCTGTGGTCTACATATCTTTTTCTTCTGTTGGTTGAAGTTGTCAATGATGACGCCGATGAAAAGGTTCAGGGTGAAGAAAGACCCGAAGATGATGAAAATGACAAAGTAGATGTACATGTAGAGGTTGTATTCCCACTGGGGCTGCTCTTCATACTGAGGGGAGAAATCAGACAGTGGGGTCAGGCAGGCTGGGGGCTTGGGGATCAGACAGAAGGGAGCAGGTGGAGGCAGAGGGCAGGTTGGGGGTGTCTATTCTGTGGGAGACAGAGTGTGGCCAGAGGAAGGTCACCAGCCCAGAACCAGGCCAGAGGTCAGTAAGGATAGAAGTGGGAGGAGTAAATGGTACCAGGTGAGGACAGCTGGCATGCTGGGCTCATGGCTGGCACAGTATCAATGTGTGGCTTCAGCCCCTGTGCCACTAGAAGGCTGGAGTATATGTCTCTCAGTCTTTACTGAACTGTCAGTGTGATTGGGTGGGACACAGGACAAAGAAGAAACTTGATTTGCATCTCCATTACTTCCACCCCTTCCTCCTGGGGTAAGATTCAATAAACTATAGCGGGTTTAATTTGAAAGACATTTGGGAATTTTGGAACTTCTTGGGAGACTTTGCAACCTTGCTCCAGGGGAAGGCCTGGGAATTCCAGGAAGGCTGAACTCCAGGTTGACACATGAGATATTGCCTTTGCTGGTCTTTCTGATGCAGACACTTATTCCCTGGTGGTCAAGGAGCCAGGAGCCTCAGGTGTTTAATTTTGTGGGAAACCTACCCCTCTGGAATCCACAGCTGCATACATAATGTCCATCCAGCCTTTAAATGTTGCCTGGAAGGAAAAGACAAGATTAAGACAGTCATTTAAGTCTGCATCTTGCTTGAGCTACTTAGGGCTCTTTTATGGATGAAAGAGGCCAGGAAAGAGCCTCCTATAAGAAGAAGCAAGCAGTCCCATCCCACCCCTTTAGCAATGTCCACATGGCTGGGCATTCAGAGAAAGGCCTCGTTTGGAGCTGGAGGTAGAGAAACAGCTGAGCAGATACCCCAGAAGGCCACACAGTGTGAAATAAGCTTCTTGATTGAGCCCAAGAGTGACAAGGCTTGAAGGAGGTCTGCCCTTCAGCTTTACATTCACTTCATTTTTTTTTAAAATATGGAACACTTTATGAGTTTTCGTGTCATCCTTGCACTGAGAGAGAATACCCGAGAAGGGTGAGGTCTAGGAGAACAGATCTTCTCAAGGAGACCATAAGAATACAAGGACCTGCAAGGTCCTCTCCATGGTGACTCAGCTCTTGGGAATTTATAACTTGGAAATTTCCAAGTTCTGTGAAATCCTATAGTTCTGTAGGGCTCAGATAGCATCTCCCGCTCATAGCATCTCCTGCTTGATTCAAACTGGCCAATGAGAAGAATACCTGTGGGGTGGAACTTTTTGACTATTGATAAAAAAGAAAAGGCCAAACCAGTAGTGGAACGCGGCCATCTGGAAATCTTTTATGCTGTAAGCTCCTGGCCGATAAATAAAGCCCTTCCAGTTATAAACGTGGTGTTTGGGTGCTCTTTCTCTCCACTGAGCCTCGTCTTCCTGCAACAGCACAGGGGCCATGCGAATCTTCTCTGTATCATTCCAATTTTAGTATATGTGCTACTTAAGCGAGCACTTTACATTCACTTGAGATCCTAAAACAGCACAGCATCCTGACAGTGGGTGCCAGGGGCAGTAGGTGCCAAGTGAAGCTTTGACTCTCTGTTCTGGCTTGAGGTCACCTGCAGTGCTGACCTGGTCCCCTTTGCCATGCAACTCAGAGAAGCACTTGGCTTCTGCTCCACAGACTAACATGGTCCCTGAAGAATCCTAAACTTTCCTTGTACTTAAGGGGATGCTTTTGCCAGTGGAGTGTTGGTAACTGGCTAACAACTGGCTTTCCAGAAAAAGAAAAAAAAGCCCTGATTATCGTTTACCAATTTCTATGGGGGAAATATTCTCACTATGGTCAATTTTAAGTTCCCAATGCGATGCATAGGAGCATGGCATTATAGTATTTCCACTGTCCAGATCAGGCGTCCTCAAACTGCTGCCCATGGGCCACATGCGGCCTGTCTAGGACATTTATCCGGCCTGCTGGGTGTTTTTGCCACTGCTGCCTGTCCTGCTTAGCAGCCGACTCATCCTGGGGCCCACAGTCTGGCCCTTCAATGGTCTGAGGGAAAGTGAATTGGCCCCCTGTTTAAAAAGTTTGAGGACCCCTGGTCCAGATATAATAGATGTGAACAAGAGCAACACAGATGATAATAAAAAGCAATGATGAGTTTTCAGTATTTTTACATTTGTTTTAATATCATTTAGTTAATTATAAGTTTATAAAATTTAATTTTTTATAATGACTTTGCTTACCAACCAGCTTGCAAAATTACTGAAAATGTAACTCTCAGCTCTTATGAGCTGGCACAAGCTGACTCTAGCACACCATAGTAAGGGACTAAAGAGGGAAGCTAAATGAGACAGAACCCTGGTGCTGGCTCCACTGTCTGCCCCAGACTGGGCTGCTGTGAAGATTCAGAAAAGCCCAACAGCCATGCAAAGTGGTAAGACTGGCTGCCCAGTGGAGTCTCACTGTGTTTTTGGCAAAATCCAATCCTGTTCCAAGCCCCCTTTAAGGCACCATCTCAGTCACACAAACTTTTTGTGTGTAAGAGTTCTTATAAGGCAGGTGGAGCAGATGGGGAAACTGAGGCCACCTGTGGAAGCCAAATAACTTCAGCTCCCTGTGCCAGGAAGCCCTCATCCCTAAAGAGAGGCCTGGAAATGCTTTGGAAACTGCTGGGGAGCACCCAAGGTTATGAGATGTTTGTGACTGATTCTTTCCAGCTACTGAGTGGTTCTGTCTGGAAAGGTGAGTAGTTCTCTGTCTATAAAGATGGACTTTCCTTCCAAAGTTCTGACACTCCGAGGGATGGTCATGGGGATAAATAACTCTTTGGGTTTGGCTCTAATCCCACTGTGCACTAAGCACTGCAGGGGAGTCTTTGTGGGACTACAGCTGGGACTTAAGGGATGGGTGGAAGTTTGCAGTTTTCCTTTGCTTTTAGGACTAAAGACAAGTGTTTGACCTTAAGATTGGGGTAGCAAGAGAAGGAAGTTGCACGTTTGTGAATTATGACTCTTGACTGTATTTCTGTTGTCGAGGTTAATGGTAGTTTAATTTTATGGCATGTATTATAATCACTGAAGCCACCATACTAAGAAAATGTACAGGAACTCTGGAAGGACTGTGTGTGTTTAAATATCATACTTCCTGCAATTCAAAGATGGAAATACACATATTCTTTCAAACAACATAAGAATTATCACTACCTTTTATAACAGAGAGTGGCCATAGTCACAATTTTGCTGATAATTCAGGCCCTGTGTAATCTGTGGTCTTTTTTTTTTTCTTTGCAGTTTTTTTGGCCCGGGGCTGGGTTTGAACCCGCCACCTCTGGCATATGGGGCTAGCGCCCTACTCCTTTGAGCTACAGGCACTGCCCATGTGGTCTTTCCTTTTTAACGTAACCAAAAAGCCTGAAGAGATCAACTTGACCACCAGCTTCAGGGATGGCTCTGCTGCAGTGCTGACCTGGCCTATGCCATGCACTTTGGAGAATATGGCATCTGCTTTAGAACTGAAAGTCTGGAGACTTCCTAAGGAGGAAATCCCTGGAGAATCCTTAACCTTCAGTGGGCATTGTGATCCCACTGTGAAAATCCAGTGTGACCCCATCGTGGGAGAAGGCAGTACTGCTAGAGAGCCAATGCGAGAAGGAAGTCCCTTCTCTCTGGGACTTACCACTTGCAGAAGGGCCAGGTACCCAGCCCCCACGTTGTCAAAGTTGACCTTCACCTTGGTCCAGTACAATTCACCAGTCACATTGAAGGATTCACACTCGCTCTTGTTGTTCACAATGGTGTAGTTTAAAGGGAGGTCTCCCTCAGTCTGGTTGATGCACCTCCCAAACCTCCCAGCGAAGAGGTTCACACCCATGATGCTGAAGATGAGCCAGAAGATGAGGCAGACAAGAAGGACGTTCATGATGGACGGGATAGCACCCACCAGCGCATTGACCACCACCTCAAGTGGACAGAGAGGAGGCTTAGTTTGTGGGAGTTCCCGGAGTCCATGCCCTTATCAAGAGCAAACACTAACTGAACTCCTTGGCTATGGGATAGGATTGTCGATCTCATGGTCATGATAGATGAAAGGCCAACTCTAAGGCTGGATGCCCCAGTGGGGAGAGAGAGGAATACCCTGATACAACTTCAGAGCATATGCCTCTTTCTTCCTGGTGGGAAGGCAGCAGCCTCTCTTACCCTCATGCCCTCAAATCGTGACAGGGCTCTCAGGGGGCGGAGTGCACGCAGTGTCCTCAGTGACTTGATGGGGCCCATCTCAGCAAAGCCCAAGGTGTTGGCCACCAGGCTGATCAGAGAGACCTATAGGAGGCAAAGTGGAGGTAGGAGGATGGGTATAGCTCCAGAGACAGAAGGTGGGGCTCCTAGCCCACTTAAGACAGGGACTGGGTTCATGAGAGCCAGCAGGCCTCCCATGTTGAATCTTTTTTATTCCTGGACTGAACTATCTTCACAGGCTTGCTATGCACTGGGCCAGGCTTCCTGAAGCCAAAGAGTATCCTGGGTTTTAGACCTTTGTTGAGAACCTGCTACATGCACTTAACACATATGCCCTGTAACAGCTCTGTTAGCCCTACAACATTCGGATGCATTATCCCTGTTCTACGAATGAGAAAAGTGAGCTCCAAACCCACTATTTTGGTATAGCAAAGCAAGGACACAAAGCCTGGACTTTTGGTTCCATACTTTTTTCTTTAAGTCAAATTATTCCCTCAGAGAAGCCTCTTTTGGAGATGGAAGGGCAGTCCTGGGTTAAGTGTGAGCAAACAGACAATCCTGGGGCACTTCTCCACAGCCAGACTTGGCAGCATTCCCGCATCTTCAAATGAGGAAAACAGGGGAGGACTTGGTGGCAATGGGGGCCTCTGCCCCACCCCACGGGGAAATTCTACTCGGTGGATTTTATCCTTCTAAAGCTCTGTGGGCAGCTACTCCCTGCTTACTTCCCTACTGGCCTGTGATCACAGGCTGAACATGGCCTCCTGCCTGACCTCCCCTGCAATCACCATTAACACCACCCTGGCACTCAGGCAGCCTGAGGCAGGGAGGGGCTGAAGGCAGGGGCCTAAGTCGACAGCCACCTTCCAGGCTTGGCAGCACCAGGTGGGAGAGGGGCTGGGGAGAGGCTTGGAGTAGGAAGACTCCCCAGGATCAACTTCTGTATTATTCCAACTCACCCCTCAATGGTGCCAAGCTGTGGATTCCTAGATAGATAGGGAGCACCTTTTCCTGAGGGCAGGGCCTCCAGGGCACCAGCCCCGGCCAGTCCACCTGCCCAGTTTCTAGCAGGCTACCCTCTAGTCTCTCTTCTTTCCAAAGCTTGTCCCATCTGTTTCAACATGGTCTGCCTGTCTTAGGTGATGGCAACCCCATCCCTCCAACTACGCAGGCCACAATCCTTGGCATCATCCCTGCCTCCTCTCTGTCTCGGATACCCTGTGTCCAACTCTTCAGGATTTCCTGTTGGCTCTGCCTTCAAAATACATCAGAAGCACAAATATTTCTCACCACTTTTATTGCCACCAGCCTGGCCAGGCTGGGGTTCTATCTGCCCTTGATTACTGCCAGAGACTCCTAACTCTTTCTCTGCTTCCACTGGTTGCCCTCTCCCCTCTCCTCCATGGCAAAGAGAACTGTTCAGAACTCTGTTCAAAGCCATCCCCTGCCTTCCCATTTCATTCTAAATAAAAGCCCTTGTTTTCAGCTGCACACTGCCCCTCCCATGCCGTCTGGCCTCTCATCTCCTGCCCTTCTCTCTGCTCAGGCACTCTGGTCTCCTTGCAGTCTCTCAAGTACAACAGGCCTGATCCCACCACATGACCTCCATGCTGCTTTTCCAACCTCTGCTCAGAACATTCTGCTGGACGTTTGCCTGCCTAACCACAGCTTCCAGTCTGCTCAAATGTCACCTAGGTGGGCCCTCTCTGGCCATCCTATTTAAGGCTGTACCCTGCACCTTCCCCTCCAGCCTACCCTCTAAGTTCTGGCACTCCTATTCCCCTTCCCTTTCCTACTCCCTTTCATTCCATGGTAGATACCACTTTCTAACATTATATACAATTGGCTTATTTATTATGTTGATTGCTTGCAGCCACCTTTCTCCATGTGGGCAGGAGTTTTTGTATATCTGTCCCCTGAGACCTCCAGTACCTACAATAAATAGTACCTGTACATAATAGATGCTCAATAGTATTTATTGGAAAAAAATGCATGAAGCATCTTCCCTAGACTCTGAGGCTGCGATCAACTTTCCCATGAATCTGGGGCAATAGGCTAGGGGTGAGGGGTATATGAGAGCATGGCTGCTGTCAAGAAAGCTGCATGCCTGCACCCACTCCCTTCTGCTCACGCCTAGGCAAGGCTTCTCCATGCTGTGAGCCTCAGCTGTCTTCTCCACAGGCTCATTCTCCTATCTTGAGCCTGAACAGGGAAGCACTGACAGTTCCCTTTCCCTGGCCACAGCTCTGAGTTCCCCAAAGTGGTGTGTGGCAAGTGGCTTGAGAGGTGAGCTTCCCCAGAAGTCTTTGCAGATGCCCTCTGACCTGCCTTGGAGAGTCCCCAGGCAGGCCCTACTGTCTAAGAAGCTACAGGAATGGTTGGGTCGGGATGCCTCAGGCCTTCCTGTGGCCCCTCAGCAGGGAAGGAGGTCGTTTCCTTCATCTCAGGGAGGCTCTAAGGGCTGAGCTGGGCTGCCAGGTATTTTCCCTTCCTCCCCCTCTCTACTCCATACCCATCAACCTAGTGTTAGTACCTCTCAGCCGTAGGGTGACAGAAAGAGGCCCACATTGGAGGTCCACATACCTGGGTCTGCGTCTCTGTGCATACATTCTAGCCCAACAAGCCACCCTCACCATAGCTCCTTACATGCTTGGAGGCCCAAGTCAGGCCTCTGGCCAGGCTTGTTGGGGACTGAGCCCCTCTCTTTGGCCTCTGAGTGGGGTATGGAGATTGAGCTCAGGAAGGAAGGTCCCTGTTGGTATGCAGAACTTGATGCCAAACTCAGAGTCACTGACAAACCTGGTGCCCTCTGAAAAACCTTCTCAATCTGCAGGTCTTGGCCCCCTTCCTGTTCTGGGGGATCCAGCACTGAAATATAATCACCTGAGCCCTTGACCACCATGGCTCCCTCTGCCCTCAGTGAGAGAGACGCAGGGCTGCCCCACACCCTGAGCCTTGCTTTTTCCTCACTGGCTATTCTCCTATTTGACAGTGCTCAGGACCCCTGCCAGATCTTGCTTGGTGCTTACCAGTTTTCCAGGGCCTTAGCTGTGAGGCAGGAGCTTCCCACTTCCTCTGCCCATCAGGTGCTCAGAAGACTTGCCAACCTCCTGTCCCAGGTGTTCCTTGGATGCACCCTGGGCTAGCAAGTCCTCACGGCTGCCTGGTCTCCAGGGTAGCAACATGGAACCCCTGAGCCAGCACTCATGGCTTTCCCCCCTTCTCTTTAATGTTACCTTCTACATGCTTTCCCATCATCCCTGCACCAGCCTTCTCCCTTCTGGCCTTTGCTCACTTTGTCCCCCTTGTGTGGGCACATAGGGTCTGGGCTAGCCAGCCATCTGTGGACCTCATAGACACTGCACACTGGGCCACGGTGAATGCCACAGTATAAGCTTGTCTGTGCACGTCCCTCTCTGGCACCTGAGTGGCTGAGCCCCCACCCCCACCCTGGCTCATGCCCCTTCCTGGAATACTCTTGGACTCTCTGCCCCAGAAACAGGGCCTAGGTTTCCCTGTAATTGGCTCCAAATTGGGGGTTCTGATGGCAGGACTCCTTTTCTCTTCTTCCTCCCTGGATGGACCTTTTCCCCTCTGCCTGCACCACAGCACAGCTGCACAACCCACTTCAGTCTGCTGACTCCTATTTGGCCCCATCCTCCTGCTTCTCTGTCTTAGCTCCTCCTACTCTGGCAATGAGTCTCCCCCCTCCATTCCCCTCAGTGTCCACACTCACATCCACAATGAGGAAGTCGAGCCAACACCAGGCATTGGTGAAGTACTTCTTGAAGCCATAGGCTACCCACTTGAGTAGCATCTCTAGCACGAAGACGTAGGTGAACATCTTGTCAGCATACTCAAGCAGAACCTTGACGGTCTTCCGATCCTCCAGGTAGATGTCCTCAAAGGCCTGCAGACAGGGCCAGACAAAGGGGATACGACGTCCTGATCTCTGTCAAGTCCACCTGCACTAGGCAATATTTCTAACAATAGTTGCTGCCCACCAGGCAGGGATGTGAGAAATGCAATGGAGGGATTCCTTCTTGGTCAGGGTTAGACCTGACCAGTGTGCCCTCCAAGGTGGGTCATGAAATGGTCTTATGTAGTGGGTGGACAGTAAGACAGAATTCCTCTCCTTTGACATTCAAGAGCAAGTCTCAGTTTGGGGCTTTAAGATCTTTCTAAAACGTGCCAATCGGCCATTTTAACAAGGAGTGAGGGTGTGGAGGCTCAGCTCACAGCTTTCTGTTGGAAACAACATAAAACCTTGCTTTCCCTCCATTTGGTTTTTGCTCTATTTACTTTATACAGTTATCTTCTTTTCATAGGAAATAATATTGGTTCCCAATTAATAAAAATGATTTACACTTTATAATAAGTTTATTTAAATAAACCAAAAACAGTGAGAGTGATTGAAAGCAAATAAATGATAGTAAAAGGGGCTTGTAGACAAGAAGTTTAGGAGGCACAGGAGTAGACAAAGTCAAATCTGCCACAATCCTCTGAATTGAAGGGTCAAAGTTTCAAAAATGCTAGGCGCTCTAACTCTTTCTCTACCTCCTTTCTGCCTCCAGTCAAATTCCTGAGCCAGCACAGGAACTCCCCTGGCTCCCAGCTGCCTTCTTCCACCTCCAGCCTTCTGATTTATATCTCTGTTCCTCTCAAGTTACTTCTCTCCATCCAGAGTGCTCTGAGGCTCCCCATCTAAGCAACGAAACACGTCACTAGGGCCCTGGGGAGCTGCCTCCACCTGTCACTCCTGGGCCTTTCTATCTTGACTTTGGGGCCTCTGTGAGGTACAGTGATCCAGGGGCAGGGGCAGGGCCAGTGCCGTCAGCAATGCCCAAATATGCATTGCTAAGGCATATATATGGCTAACTGGGTCAAGTGTAGATGAGCACAACAGGATCGTTCAAGTCCCCACATGGACTTTTGGAACTGTTCAAGATAAAAAGAAGGCATTTTTTTTTCTGGGTATGGTTCTTATAAAGAATTGAATGATGTAGAAATTCTAAAAAAGAAAGTAAAATGCAGCCTCAATTTCATAACACCAAAGTAACTAATACTAACATGTAGGTAAATGTTCTTTTTGCCAGTGTTTGTATATACGTGAGCACACACATTCATATATGCACACTTATATACACCACAATTTTATCAGGTATACTAAAAACTTGCTTTGAAATTACTTTTTCAACTAAACAATATGTTGTGAACATTTATCCACTCAATAATAAGAATACATACAATAATGTCTATCCTTCTTTCAAAAGGATATTTTATTATTTGCATATACTACTGCAACTATTTATGCTACTGTTATTATTATACTAATAGTACTATACTATTATTTGCATACTACTTTATTATTTGCATATACTGCTACTATTTAGAATGAACATTTCAGTTGCTGCCAATTTATCCCTAGTAGAAACAACACTGCAGGGAACACTCTGTCTGATTATGTTGAGGATAAACTGGGGCATCAGGCCAAAGGTGTGCTTTTCATACAGGTTGAGAATGGGTCAGAGACACAAAGGTACACTTCATCTACAGTGCATGAAAGTGGCTTATCCCACCACTTCACTGACACTGGGGCTGTTTCTCTTTTTTCACTCTTCTCAGTTCACTCATTGGTATTTCATTTTAACTTATTTTATTACTAGTGCTGTCAAACTCTCTCTCTCCCTCGGATGTTTGCAGCATTCCTTTTGTGAATTACTTGTTTATATCCTTTGCCATTTTTTTTTTACTAAAGTGTCTGGTTTATAGGGGACATTAACTCTCTGTCTTATAAAACTACCCTAGTTTGTTCAGTGTGTTTAAATCTGGTTTACTTTTGTTTACTGGGGTTCTATACTTCATTTTCACTTATTATTATGTTTTTTAATATGATTATGTCATTTATTACAATTTTCATTTAGTAAAATTTTTGGTGTTAAGAAAGCTCTTGCTTATTCCAAGGTTGGAAAAAAAATGACCTTTCTTTTCTTTTTCTCTTTTTTTCAACTTTGTGGTTTCAATGTTTTATATTACAATTTTAAAAACCAAATATATTTTGATAAGGAGCAAATAGCCATTTTAATAACTTTCAGATCAACTTGTCAACTCTCCTAACACTTTAGTAAATAATCCATTCATAATCTGCTGATTAGGAGTCGACTTTACGATTATACTACATTTCTGTATTTACTTACATTGATTTCACACCTCTTTATGTAGTTCTACTGCTCTCTATTTCTGAATTAGTATCACAAGAGTTTCCTGGGACATTTGAAATAATTTTTAAGATAAACACATTAGCAATATTTTATCAAATTGTCTCAAAAATTTGAAAATGTACTGTCATTGTACTGACTCCATAGAGGAGTCTTCCTACCCAAGACCACAGTAAATTTATCTATGTTTTCTTTTATACTTCTTAGCATTGTTTATGCAGTTCTCTGTTTTTTTTTTTTTTTTTTTTAAGAGACAGTCTCACTTTGTCACCCTGGGCAGAGTGACGTGACATCACAGCTCACAGCAACTTCCAGCTCTTGGGCTTAGGTGATTCTCTTGCCTCAGCCTCCCAAGTAGCTGGGACTACAGGTGTCTGCCACAATGTCTGGCTATTTTTTTGTTGCAGTTTGACTGGGGCCGGGTTTGAACCCACCACCCGGGGTATATGGGGCTTGCGCCCTACACACGGAGCCACAGGTACCGTCCCAGTTCTTGTTATATTTATTCCCAGTTACTTTATGATTACAGTGCTTGGCATGTATGGAATAGTTGAGAAATGTCACTAGTGACTAAAAGGTTTCCCTTTGTATAAAACAGAAATAGTGGCAACAATTCTTTGTATTATTTATTTTATACCTGGCCATATAATGTTAATAGGTTTTTAAATTTTTCTAGGCAATCATATTATCTAACAACATATTTCTATGATTTTTAAGTCATGTTTTTATACTTGACTAATTGGATTGACTTCAGTTCTTTTATTTTCCAATTTTTATATCATGTATTTAATTTTCTTGATTAAGTGCACTGGCTAGTACTTCAAAACTATTATTAAATAATAAACAACAGCTGAAAAGTAGTTAAATTATCCTTTTCTTATTCCTGATTTTAATGAAAATGTTTCAAGTGCTTTTATTACTAATGATGATGATAGAAATTAATTTGAGAGTTAAGTTTTATGCTAAATTAAGAAAATATATTTCACTTCTATTCTTACCAGAGTTTAAGAAATCAGGCATTCATTGAGATAATCATATGGCTTTTCCTTTTTGCCCTTTTCATATAAATAGATTCTCTAATTTAGTACCATCCTGACATTTTAGGATATGACATATTTATCATAGACATCACTAATCTTTTAAATATATTGCTGGATCCTATTTGTATGTATTTTGTTTAAAATTTTTGCATCATTATTCATAAATATGGAGTATGAAGTATGAAAACTGGTCTAGATTATCTCTGTGGCACTCGAGGTTTTAAAAATCAGTATTTAGTTTTCATAAAAATAACTTCTGGAATTTCCATCTTTTCCCACACATTATAATATTTTAAATTCTTTAAGAACATAAAAGAGGGGCAGCACCTGTGGCTCAGTGAATAAGGCGCCAGCCCCATATACCAAGGGTGGTAGGTCTGAACCTGGCCCTGGCCAAATTGCAACAAAAAAATAGCTGGGCGTTGTGATGAGTGCTTGTACTCCCAGCTACTCGGGAGGCTGAGGGAAGAGAATTGCTGAAGTCTGAAAGCTGGAAGTTGCTATGAGCTGTGACGCCACAGCACTCTACCAAGTGCAACAAAATGAGATTCTGCCTCTAAAAAAACAAACAAGCAACAAAAACAAACAAGCAACAACAAAAAAGAATTTAAAAGAATCTGCCTTTGGAAATATGAAAGATTACATTAGTTAGTAGGTATCTGATTGTTTTAATTTTCCAAGGAATCAGCTTTTGAATTTTGTGTATCAGTTTCACTATTTTGTAGTTTATTAATATAGGTTTTCATTTTATTAATTACTTTCTTTGGTTTCCCTAAATTTATTTTGTCAATATATTTATAATTTCTTGAGTTAAATAGTTTACACTCTACTTAATAATGAGTATTTAAGCAAATGAATTTTCCTTTTATTACCATTCTGGTTACAATCCACATGCAGTATTCTCAATATTGTTATTTTTCAGTTTTTTCTACCATAGTTTTTTTCCTACCTCTATTTTCTTATTTTTGTAGATCGCAGCTAGACAAAATTTGTGAAATCGTAACTTCTGACTTATAGCATAGTATCATCTCTGGTCCATGAATGATCTTCTTTCATTAATTAATTAATTAAATGACCATCCATGAACATCCCACGAAACTACTTTCTGTTTGATCCAGGGTTTAAGAATGGCTTTTATATCTCAAATGATGGTCCTTGGGGAAAAAAAAAGAGAGAGAATGGCTTTTACATTTTAGGTCTTTGGTTTTAATCCTATTTTTTATTTCTAGTACTTTCCTTGCCTGTAAAACAGGCTTAATAGTACTACCTATCTCATAAAAGTTATTGTGAAAATTAAATTAATATTTGTAAAGTGCTTGAAACAGTATCTGGCACATAGTGAGTGCTATTTATGTGTTAGTTATTATTTTTATTATCATGTTATGTCAGATTTATTATGCATATATTTTAGATCTCTGTCTGGTTCTTTATATTTGAATATTGAGAATTAACAGAAATATGGTAAAATCCCCCGGTACTATAGTACTATTGTCAGTTTTTTCCCCAGCGAATTTTGTTTTATACATTTAAGTCCTGTGTAATCCCAAGCAAATATATTCTTAATAGTTATATTTTTATTACAAGTTGGACCTTCTGTGTCTTATCTCAAGCTTTTAACTTTGGCTTCATCAAACAAAAAGCACCCTGATTTTGTTGTCATTATTTGCATTTGCCTGATCTACCTTATTATTTCACTTCTAGTATTTCTGAATCACATTGTTTTAGGTTTGTATTTGAGAGCACATAGCTAAAGTTTTTAAAAAGTTTAATCACAGCCCTTTTCTTTTAAAAGATGAATTTTATCCAGTTACATTTATTATTCAAATATATGTTTGATCTCAATTCTCCCATATTATTTTCTGTTTTCTGATTTTATGTTTTCTTGTTGCTTCTTTTTTCTTCTATCTTTTGCTATAAGATCTCTGTTTTCTTTACAAATTTTTTTCCTCAGCAATTTGGAAGAGATATAGTTTGCTTTCTGTTGAACAAGTTTATAACTTTAAATAACACACTCAGACTCCTTTTTCTCAATACATAATTGACATGGTTTTTTTAACAACAGTGCTTGGCTGTCTACCCTGATTAGATTCACCAGATGGTTGCCAAAACTCCTCCTCACTTATGCCAGGCTGAGCTTTTCTTCCACAGCCCAGACTAAATGGCTCTGGCTGCCCTTGTTTGTGGCTGTTTAAAAACAAAACTCGTTAACATATTGTCAAATCATCCTTCCCTGAAGCCTACAGAGATTTGGCTCTAGCTGCCAATGGTAAAACAGCAGGGAGGCTGCAAGCCTTGGCTCCAGGCCCACTGTGGAACAGGGGAGGGGCAGCATGGGATGGGGTAGGAGGCCCAGAGGTTTAGATGTGACAGCTACAGTGCTTCCCCATGGTCTGCCCTGACAGGAGGAGAAGCAGCATGGAGTGAAGGCACATGGCCTTGAATCAAAGTGTCCTTTCTCCCATTCCATGGTCCAAAGCATTCTCTATTAGTTATGCATCCACAGGGTTCTCACCTCTCCAACAATATAGGCACTTCCTCTCTCTGGGCCAGGAAAATTTCCTTGTCTTCTGCCTTTTTAATCACCCTTCCCCCTCCTTATTGGCACCTTCCAGAACTCTCCAGTACTGTCCTATGTCTTCCAGAAAGGGCTCTGGAAGATCAGAGCAGGCTGCTTGTGAGCCAGATGGGGCAGCCCCTAGAGCAGTGGTTCTCAACCTATGGGTCGCGACCCCTTTGGGGGTGAAACGACCCTTTCACAGGGGTCACTTAAATACATCCTGCATATCAGATATTTACATTACGATTCATAAGAGTAGGAAAATTACAGTTATGAAGTAGCAACAAAAATAATTTTATGGTTGGGGGTCACCACAATATGAGGAACTATATTAAAGGGTCATGGCATTAGGGAGGTTGAGAATCACTGCTCTAGAGGGTCTCATTGCTCTTCTCAGCCTCAATACCTTCCTTTCCCCCGCAGTCCAGCTCCATTCTCTTCCTCCAGGGAGTTTTCCCTGATTTCTCCCACTGCCCTCAACTCCCAGCATGAGTCCTCCACTCTGTTCTTGCTCCATTCTTTTTTGCGCTGATCCTTCACTATCTTGTGTCTGCTGAATCTGGTTCCTCCAAGTAGACTGGGAACCTCTAAGGCCAGAACTGGGGTATCCTTCTCCTGTTGCTCCCCCATTGCTAGATACACAGGGCTAGATACAAGGAGAGCTCAGTAAAGACCTACTGCAAAGGTGCAAGGTCAAGACAAAAGACTCTGAATTCCTGGGTTCAAATGCCTAATCTACCATTCCTAAGTGGTCAGGCCTTGGGCAAGTTAATGTTTCCAAAAAGTGTTGTGGTTGTGTGGATTGAATGTAATGATGTGGGAACTATATGGTATCGATTCTAATCTGTAGAAGATGTAGACTAAGTGGAGCTGTACTATCAGCCGGCATTGTTTACTACATAGTAATACCTGTGCTATCATTTGGTGTTAAATTTCATGTTGAAATTAGATCCCCAATGTTCAAGATGGGACCTAGTGGGAGGTGTCTGAGTCATGGGGGCAGATCTCTCATGAACAGTTTGGTGCCACTCATGATAATGAGTGAGTTCTCAGTTCCCAGGAGAACTGACTGCTAACAAGTTTGGCACCTCGCTCTCTCTCTTCCAACCTCTCTTGCCATGTGATCCTTGCTCCCCTTCACCTTCTGCCATGAGTGGAAGCTTCTTTTTTTTTTTTTTTTTTTTGAGACAGGAGACTCAAGCTGTCCCCCTGGGTAGAGTGCCGTAGCATCATAGCTCACAGCAACCTCCAACTCCTGGGCTCAAG